AAGGCTGCCCTCCCAGCCGCTAATGCAAACCCCATTGTCTCAGGCTGCTGTCGGGGAGCCGCCTGCGTGTCTAGAACCCGCCCCCCGCCCCCCGCCCCCCGCCGGTATTGTTGGCTGTCTGCTCCTTCCCCTTCTCCCCTCCCTCTGGCCTCTCTGTGCCAGGCTCAGCTGGGGCTTCACCGTCCATAGCTCCTCGTGCTGGGGCTGCAGCAAGATTTGGGGTTCCCAGTTAGGGATGCGGGACCCACTGCCGTGGAGGCAGCCCCCCACATTAGAGCACCCTCTCCCCAGGCCCTGCAGCTGCAGACGACGCCCCCCGGGCCACGGCTCTGCATGTGGACCAGAGCCCCGGGGACAGGCTGGTCCCGGTGGGCGCCCCGCCTGCCGGCCGTCAGTTTTGGCAGGAAGCGGGCACCCCGTTCAGCGACACAGAAACACGGCTCACGCCATGAGACGGGCTCCCTTCCCGAGCTTCTCCCGGCCTCCCGATCTCGTCTGCCCGGTTCCGTGCTGCCACCTCCCCTTGCACACGACCCTCTCGCTTGGGAATCTTCCTCTCTAACAAAGAAAGGGCAGGACTCTGGTGGCCCAGGGCCTCGAGGGAAACCCGTGGCCTGGTCTGGTCCCCGCTATTTGTACAGCCACCTTCTGGTCATCGGCGAGGTGGTGATGGATTCATTCAAACAGAAACAAGGAATTGTTTGGAGGAAACGCTACTCGCTCGCTCCTTCCACAGATGTTCAGGGAACACCGGGCTCCGAGCTCGCCTTGGGCCTTGGGCGTTAGAGCCAGAGCAAAGCAGACACCCGGCCCCCAGAGTGAACCCAGGCCAGACGCGGGCAGACAGGGCTGCCATGTGAGAATTCCTGAGGCCTGGGAGAAAGCAGAGACAAGACCCCAGGGCCATGGGAAGGGCTGGGCCGAGATGGCCGAGCTGATGGAGGCTGCCACACCCGGGACCGCTTGTGACCAGTGGCTGGCCGGCCACGTGGAGCCTCCTGTTTTTTTAACTTACGCTTTTTTTTTTTTTGAGACAGAGTCTCACTCCGTTCCCCGGGCTAGAGTGAGTGCTGTGGCGTCAGCCTAGCTCACAGCAGCCTCAAACTCCTGGGCTCAAGCGATCCTCCTGCCTCAGCCTCCCGAGTAACTGGGACTACAGGCATGCGCCACCATGCCCGGCTAATCTTTTCTATATATATTTTTAGTCGTCCAGCTAATTTCTTTCTATTTTTAGTAGAGACAGGGCCTCACTCTTGCTCAGGCCGGTCTCAAACTCCTGAGCTTGAGCGATCCTCCCGCCTCGGCCTCCCAGAGTGCTGGGATGACAGGCGTGAGCCACCGCGCCCGGCCTGACTTAAGCTTTGAATAGCCCCGCAGAAACTCAGGTCCCCCCGAAGCAAGCCCCCCTCCCGGCAGCCGTCACCGCCACCCACAACTTTCCCAGCACTGTGGGCCGCGCCGTGGGCTCCGCTTTCCTGCCACGCGATGAGACACCCCACAGCCCTGGCCTTCTCTGGCCCTAACGAGGGCTGCAGGAGCTGGGCCGGGGAAGGTCACGTTGGAAGGAGCCAAGGCATGTGTGTGGGTGTTCAGAAGCTGCCCCCCTCGCAGCAGACGGCCGAAACACACACTTCCCCGCCCCCATCCCCGCTCTCCCCTTGGTTCCAGTCCTTCCTCCCACGGGGGACGGGGACCTGCTACGCCTCGGAGGTGGGCAAGTCTCCTCTCTGGGTGCAGAGCGAGCCCCGGCACCCCCTGGGTGATGCCCTCCCCTGCCCGGCGCCTACGACAAAATAGACGAGCGCGCTCCCGCTTGGTAGAGCCCCCACGCCACCCCAGGGCGGGGGGACCCCTTGTCACCACGTCCCCTCACGGGCCACTTGAGTGTTCTCTCTCCAAGCCGGAAGCGTTCGGACGCCTGGACGGACGGAACGGAGATGTTCGTTTCCTTCCCTTCTCCTTTCCTGAGCTTAAAGGCTCTCAGACTGAGTTTCCATAAAACTCACTGCGCCAGTTGCGCGCACAGAACCACGGTGCTGTATCTTATGTGCAATTTAAGATATTCAAGAAAGATTTTTTTTTTTTTGGTCTATAAATGCTTTTTTTCCTGGCCTTGGGCACTGAATTTAGAAGCAAACTCTCATGCACATAGAAGAGGTGACTCCACTGTTTCCTTAATGAATGTTTTCTCCTGGGTGCTATGCATCTGAGTCTGCACACGCCACTTAGCAGTTCTCCCCCGAGGTCCACAAGACACCCCCAGGGAAGGTCGCTGCCCACCCCCACCCCTGGGGAAGGGTGGGGGGCATGTCCTGCCCTCCCAGCTGGGTGCAGACTGGGACCCTCCCTCCCTCTCTCCCGGGACAGCCGTGCCCCACCAGCTCCTTCCGGCCGGAGAGGGGTTTCCAGGAAGCAGTCGAGGCAGAGGAAATACAAGCGACAAATCAATTTTGTTTGGGATTTCTCCCCCCTCCTCGCTAAACTCGGCTGAATTAGTGTCCAGTGGGAACACCCGGGGAATCGATGTCACATTTCCGGCACCTGCAGGAAAGAGCCGGCTGCCCCTCTGAGAAGCCTCTGCCGACCTTTAGCCAGAGAAGCTTCCCCGGAGTCAAAGGGGAGTGAGGGGCTTCCAGACGGCTCCCAGGGAGCAAACGCCGACCCTCGGGGACCCGCCTGGGAGCAGTGTTAGACTTCAGCGGCTCCTGTCATTTCCTGGAGCAGATATTGACTGACGATTGGGTTCAGACACTGTGCAAGGCACATGGGCCCCAGAGAGAGATGAGACACAGTCTGGTCACGGGGCGGGGGGTGGACAGAGAGAGAGAGAGAGAGAGAGATAGAAGACAGAGACAGAGAGAGGGAGAGATAGGAGACAGGGACAGAGAGAGAGAGAGAGAGATAGAAGACAGAGACAGAGAGAGGGAGAGAGAGATAGGAGACAGAGACAGAGAGAGGGAGACAGAGAGAGGGAGAGAGATAGGAGACAGAGAGAGGGAGAGAGATAGGAGACAGACAGGGAGAGGGAGAGAGATAGGAGACAGACAGGGAGAGGGAGAGAGATAGGAAACAGAGACAGAGAGAGGGAGAGAGATAGGAGGCAGAGACAGAGAGAGGGAGAGAGATAGGAGACAGACAGGGAGAGAGATAAGAGACAGAGAGAGGGAGAGATAAGAGACATAGACAAAGAGAGGGACAGAGATAGGAGACAGAGATAGAGAGAGGGAGAGATAGGAGACAGAGACAGAGGGAGAGGCAGGGAGGGGTTGCAGGGAGAGAAGGAGAGGAAAGAAGAGAGTGCGGGGTGGGGACACAGGCCACCTTCTGCGAACACTTCATTATCAGCGTCAGGGAAGCTGGTCAGGTCCGGCCTCTCTGCCCTGGGAGTCCCTGCCTCCTCTCACCTTGAAGGTCGAGGCAGGAAATGTGTCCCCGGCTGAGCCGCCCTCGTGGTGAGGAGACACAGCCTCAGCGTGCTGCCAATGCTTTTATGTAACCCTCCAGCTCTCCCCACCAAACAGACCACAACGCCCTGGCAACTGCACTTCCATAAAGCTGTGTGTCTTACCAGGGCACACCGCCTTCCAGGAGATGAATCGCACTGCCGAATGGCCAAGTGGCCGCCTGAGCTCAACTTTCCTCCCCTCGTGGCTCCCGCGGAATTGCAGAGACCAGAGAAGCCGGGCGGTTGGGGGTGGGCTCGTGAGAGCAGCTCGGGCAGAGCGGTGCCAGGAGCCCCGTGGTGAGCAGAAGGTGGGGGGGGGGGTTCGAGCACGCTCCGCGAGGCTACCCCTCCCCCCGGGGGCTGGCACCCTGCCTCCCCTCCAGAGCTCCTGCCCCCCCCGGGCCCCTGGCTGCACCCCAACCCTCCCGGGAGGATGGCACTCCTGCGGGAAACGGTGAGATGACCTCATGCCGTCCCCCCCACACACACACACACCGCAGGCTGGATCCGGCGCCCGCACAGCCCCAGCTCTGTGACGCCTCCCACCTGAGCCTGCCACCGACACTTTCTGGAGGAGGTCTGCTGGGGCTGCCAAGGCAGAAGCCAGAGCCGCCGGCACTGGGCAGAAAGAGAAGGCAGACACACAAAGTTTCTCCTCCTTCCCCGCATCTGGGCGCAGAGCGAGCTCCGGGGGTGTGGGGGGGGAGCAGCAGCCGGATTCTGCTCTGCTGCATCCCGAGGTGGAAAAGTACTTGTTCTCCCCAGCTGCGGCCTCCCGCCCGCCCGGTCCTGCCTGGCTCCGGCCTGCACCTGCGGGGGGTGGGGGGGCGGTGACGCCGAGGCCCAGCAGAGCCCGGCTTTCTGTGAACGCCCCTGGGGACCCTGGAGCTCCCAGGCACCAGGACCTGGGCTCACGTAGGTGACTAACTCCCGTCCAGCCCCTGCGGTCCATGAGTCCCAGGTCATGGCCCCGTGTGTCTCCCACAACAAAACTTCCTGGGTGGTGTAGCCCCGACCATTCCCAGGCTGGGAGGCCGTGGGGGCCAGCGGTCACAGCGTGCGGACACCCTTGGAGGCTCCCAGGCTAAAGACCCTACCGGCAACCTCCGAAGGTCGGTGTCCCACCCCGTCCTCACCCACCTTCAAGGAGGGACAGGAAGTGGGTCCAGTCTGAGCCCTGACGTCCCACAGCTGCCCGGATCACCAAGCCTGCCCTGCTGGCTCCTGGGCCCGGGCGCTGCCTGCCCGCCCTTCAAGCAGGTGCAGAGAAGCTCAGGTTATCCTGGGGGACAAGCCTGGGTCATCGCTGGGGGTGTGGGTGGTTCGCTAAGGGTCCCCTGGGTGAGTGAGTGTTTGGGTGGACAGGATGCCCACCCAACAGCCGTCCCCTTCCTCCCCTTCCCTGTCCGCCAACGCGGCACAGAGGAGCCGCTACCCGTGCGCGGCTGGGCCATCCCAGCGCCCCAGTCAACCCGGGCTCCAGCGGCCGGGACACAGGGGGGCGTCCCTCGCGCGCCCCCGCCCAGCCCCCGTCCCGGGCGGGACGGCCTCTCACCATTGAGCTGGTTGTAGACCACCTCCTCCAGGTGGTCCAGGCGCTGCAGGATGGCCTCGCGGTCGGCCAGCGCGCCCGCCTTGGCGGTCCGGCTGCGCGCCCGGCGGTCGGCGCCGCGCAGGATCCGCACCAGCTCGGCGGACCGGTCCTGGAGGCGGCAGTACACGGAGAACAGGACGATGCCCACGAAAACCAGAATGTTGACCGTCAGCAAAGTTTTGATCTTCCTGGCCACCGCCATGAACGCGGCTGGCAGCTGGGGGCTGCCTCACCCGCGGGGCATCCCCGTGGGCGCCGCGGCCGCAGGAGCCTCCGCCCGGCCCGCGCTCCGGGCACCGGGAGCAGGCGCGGGGGCCGCGGGCGGCGGCCGGGGGCCTGCGCCGGGCGTTGGCCGGGGTGTCGTTCCAGCCACCAGCGCCGCGCAACTCAGCGCGCGGCGCCGGCCGGGGGTCCGCCGCGCAGGGGCTGCCCGGGCCGCGGGCGCGGGGCCAGCCCGCAATCCCCGGCAAGAAGGGCGCGCGGCCCGGCCGGACGAGCGGCGAGAGCGGCCGGCGCGGGAGGCGGCCGAGGACGGCGCGGGCCGGCGGCGCGCTCGCTGCTGTGCCCGCTGCTGCCCCGCCGCGAGCCACGGCGCCAGGTGCGGAGGTGCAGCGCGGCCTCGCAGCTCATCTGCATGCACGCGGCGCCGCCCCGCCGCGCCACACCAGGGACCGCCACCGCCCGCCCGCCGCCGGCCCGCGCCCCGCCCGGTCTGCGCGCCCCGCCGAGGCAAGGGCATGCGGGCGCGGCTGGGGGAAGGGCGC